AGGAAGAAACAAGGACACAAGGAGAGTAGGGGAGGGAGAGGAGAGGAAGAGAGGAAGAAACAAGGACACAAGGAGAGTAGGGGATGGAGAGGAGAGAGGAGGAGAGGAAGAGAGGAAGAAACAAGGACACAAGGAGAGGAGACAAGGAACAATGAGGAGGTCAGGTAGAGAGGAAACAAGGAGAGTCTGGTGTGAAACAGACTTCACAGGCTCTCTTCTTCATCATGAGACCAGCTAATCAAGTTAACGTCTGGAGGAGCTAACGACCACCGTGTGACACGTTCTCAGTGGAACCACGGTTCCTCACATGTTCTTAACTGACCCACAGGAGAGGAGGTGGTACATACATCACACAATGAATACATAAATACAGATTAAATATGAACATATGAAGGATATCAGCTCACATCTTTAGTTCTGTTAGCTTCATGTTTTACATGTTGTTATGCTGTACAGTCCTCGTTTATATATTATAAATATGTGAACTCATGTCCAATAAAACCAAGACAAGGAGAGGAGACAAGGAAACAAGGAGAGGAGGTCAAGTAGAGAGGAAACAAGCAGACAAGGAGGAGAGTAAAGGGAGGAGAGAGGAGACAAGGAGATGAGGAGAGGAAGGGAGTCAAGGAAACAATGAGAGGAGACAAGGAAGAAACAAGGACACAAGGAGAGGAGACAAGGAAACAATTAGAGGAGACAAGGAAGAAACAAGGACACAAGGAGAGGAGACAAGGAAACAATGAGAGGAGACAAGGAAGAAACAAGGACACAAGGAGAGGAGACAAGGAAACAATGAGAGGAGGTCAAGTAGAGAGGAAACAAGGAAACAATGAGAGGAGGTCAAGTAGAGAGGAAACAAGGAAACTATGAGAGGAGGTCAAGTAGAGAGGAAACAAGCAGACAATGAGAAGAGTAAATGAAGAGGAGGTGAGGAAGAAACAAGGACAGGAAAGAGGAGAGGAAGAAACAAGGAGACTATGAAAGGATCAACAAGGTGAGGAGGTGGAGGTCAAGTAAAGAGGAAACAAGGAGACAAGGAGCTACGAGTGAGACTCTTCAAAGTAAAGTATCTTCTGTGACTCATCTCCCAGCTTCTGTAAAGTGTCGATCACCTCGTTCATCACTGAAGAACACAGGACAACCACCACATCAACAGACCACTCCGGGTCCTGGTCTGAGGTACACGTCAGGACCCCTTCCCACCCTCCTGTCCTACCTTCGATCGCGATCACATGCTCCCGGATCTGGTTCTGCAGCAGCGGCTCCTCCACCCGCTCCAGCAGCTCGTAGATGGAGTAGATGTTGGGGTGCACGGACTCGAACCTCTGGATCTCGCCTCGGATGGCGGCGGAGTTGGCGAGGTGCTGCTGGTAGTTCATGATGTGGTGAAGAGGAGGGTCGGAAGGAGACGGTGGTGTCCTCCTGGTCCTCTTAAATCATGCTGTTCTCCTCTGGACCCTGGTGAACTTCACACGTCTGTTTCTCAGCTATACTGTTAATATAATATATAATATATAATATATGATAATATAATATAGAGTCTGTTCTGTTTAAAAACACAGTGGATCCTCCTTTACACGCAGGGCGTTTAAAATTGGGTTAAAGGAGCTTTTAGAGTCATTTTGCGGCCAGAACTGACCAGAGGAGAACGATAAAAAACGGCCTTGTTTGTGCTAGGTGGCTAGGCTAGTTAGCTCGAGCTAACGAGCTAGCTGTGGCTAGCTGCCTGTTCCAGGTCCGTCCGTTGTTTTGTCTCCAGGACCAGCTGCGCACTACTTAACCTCCGTCCAGGAATTTTAAACCCCGCCACCGCGGGAGGAGAGGGCTTCTAAATCCGAGTTCCCGGTGTCGGTTAACGGTTAACGACACGTGTGTTTAAAGGTGTGAATTCGGGTCCCAAAAACACTTTCCCCGCTGCTGCTGTGAGGTCCATCCCGTTGGAGAGCCTCGGTATCCCGGCTGGGAAGCGGAGCGTCTCAAAGGTAACACACACCGAACAACGAAGAGTTCCGGTGGGGACTTTCAAAATAAAACAAGCGCTGGAAAGTTTATTTACTCACAGTACCGCACTTAAGTGCACATTTTGTGGTACTTGTACTTTACTTGAGTATTTCTATTTGTATGCCACTTTATATTGACAGTTTTAGTTACTTATCAGCTTCAGATTATTAAAATAAAATATAATAAACACATTATGGTATATAATTATGGATTAAACTACACAGCAGTTTACAAAGTCATTACAATTAGTTAAGACTTTACCAGCTGCGACATTTTCTCACCAAACATCCATGGTATACATAATTTATGCTTTTATTTTGAACACCAAACTTCCCTGTTTCCGGTCTGTCTCTTTGCTAGCCGGCGAGAGCTTGACGCAGCGGAGTTCAAGAAGTACGTATTGCGTGGATTCTGCTCAAAAAAAGACTTACGCTTTCAAAAGAAAGCTCCAAAGCACTAATCAGACAAACAAATTATAAATCACACAAAAAATAATTACTTTTCATTTTATTTGCATGAACATATTTGTATGTGTAGTTTTCTACATTTGTTAACTACGTGATCACAAATAAAATCCTTGATTTTAATTCAGGGCCCTTTCAAAATAAAGCTCCAAAGCACTAATCAGACAAAAAGGCATTACATTTCATTTCATTTGCTGTATTTACATGAACATATTTGTGAACGTCTTTGTTAACGACATGATGAAAAACAAAATCCTTGAATATAAAGCCCAGCCTGTAGTACTGCGTGGTATTTGTACATGAATAAATACCTCATTCATAGAGCCTCTTTGGTTGTGTTCCAGCGGCTCTATTGTGTTGAAGCTCCATCCAGCAGTAGATGGTGAACAATGCCTCCTTTATTCTTCCCACTGCTCGTCGCTTTGATGCAACACTCGTGTTCCCCGAACATGAAGCGTGTTTCTGTCCCGTCGTCCACAAACTCTCCCTGTGGACGTCCACCAGGACACATTTAACCAATACCAAGGTGTTCTATATGCACTCTTATTCTGAAAGACGATGGAAACATTTTAGGTTTCTCACATGTTGTGACCAGCGGAACCAAAAAGAGATCTTTGTCTTTACTTCATCTTAAGGTCAAATCATTCAGCAGATAGAAACATCAGCACATCGAGAACAGTAAACATCATTGTATCTATTTATTCACTATTGATGCCAGTATTCCTCAGAATGTGTTGTATCCTGTGTGTTTAGTGTTTGAGAGAACTGGAGAATAAAGACGTGATGTTTGGTTGAGGTGAACATAGTTATTAGTAGAATAACTTTGTGTAGATTATCTGTCAGCTGATCAGAGGGAGTTAACCCGGATTAGTATCACAGATTAGTGGAAGTTCTATTTAAACGTTCCGTATCGCTCCAGATGGAACATAAATGTGTTTAATCTCAGTGACATTAAGCACAAATACATTAAAACAGGTCACTGGATATTATTATTATTTATGGTTATATTTATATTTATATGTTAAACTTTCTCACCGTTGTGTCCATTTTCTGTCCGTTGCACCAAACGTCCATCGTGTCCTTCTCTGTAGGAAACAACAGTACTATGTATAGATGTGTGTATATATATAAATATATGTATATGTATATATTGATGTATATTTGTTCACATATTCTCCAAAACTGAACATGTTGTTAATTTAACTTCAGTAACATTTTGTATTCAGGAGAATATCTGTGGTATTTATATTGTATCTGAAGTACTATTTAGTGGTATTTCTACTCTATCTGAAGTACTATTTAGTGGTATTTCTACTCTATCTGAAGTACTATTTAGTGGTATTTCTACTCTATCTGAAGTACTATTTCGTGGTATTTATACTGTATCTGAAGTACTATTTAGTGGTATTCCTACTCTATCTGAAGTACTATTTAGTGGTATTTCTACTCTATCTGAAGTGTTATTTAGTGGTATTTCCTCACCCAGGACAACCCTGCAGTCCTCCCCGTCCACCCGGACCCTCCAGGTCCTGCAGGTCTCGTCCCGGTCTGCGGTGAACCTCTGGAGGCTCCGCCCCTCCAGCTGCAGCGAGTACTCGTAAGCCAATCCGCCGACGGCCTCGATGAGCACGCTGGCTCTGGTGTTGGCTCCGCCCACAGTGAACGTCTCCTGTCCCACCAGCTTGAACATCCGGTCTCTTCTGATGACTTCCTGTTGAGCAAAACAACTCCTGTGATTGGTGGGATTACTGCGTGTACTATTCACAGGTGTACTCCAAACAAAACTGCAGAGGAATACTGCAGGATCCTGGAGACAAGAAGTACTTCAGCCACACAAAACATTCAAAAAGTATTCAGATCTTTTACTTTGAAGGAAAAGTAGTGTACTCCATCACAAGTAAAAGTACTGCTTTCATACTGAAGTAAAAGTACTACACATGCAGTAAATTATAAGCACTCATATTTACATACTATCAGGTAGTTTAATCTTTCAAAATTAATTATTACTGCCAGACTAACTAAGTACATTTAAGTACACGTTTCAGGTACTTTACATGAGTACTTCCTACATCTCAGAGTAAATATTGTACTTTTACTGGCAGCTTTAGTTACTTTATATATTCAGATTATTGAAGTAGTGAACAAATGAATACTATCTATACTATAACAGATACTGCAGAAAAAGTACTTTTGGTACTTCAAATACAGGACTCTGACATGTAACAGAGTACTTGTACACTGTAGTACGAGTACTTTTACTGCAAGTCAAACATGATGAATCTGAGGGTCTCAGTCTATGAAGGGTTTGAGGAACCACACTGGGACAGGGTCTCACCTGTCCGTTAACGTACACGATGCGTCTCCCGGTGGTGGTCCCGTGAGAGAACTGGATCCTGTAGACGCCGTCACTGAGTGCCACGTCCCACACGGCCACCACGTCTCCCCCCAGCATGTCTGGTCCTCACGGAGTCCCGGACCACCTCACAGAGTCCTTGAGCACGTCTCCCTCCAGCATGTCTGGTCCTCAGAGTCTCTGCTCAGCAGCCGGTGTATTACAGTAAGAGGCTTACAGACGACACTGACACTGATAATCAGGACAGGAGACACCTCGTCCTACATGTAGTCCTCCTCCTCCTCATCCTACATGTAGTCCCCCTCCTCCTCCTCATCCTACATGTAGTCCCCCTCCTCCTCCTCATCCTACATGTAGTCCCCCTCATCCTCATCCTACATGTAGTCCTCCTCATCCTACATGTAGTCCTCCTCATCCTACATGTAGTCGTCCTCATCCTACATGTAGTCCCCCTCCTCATCCTACATGTAGTCCTCCTCATCCTACATGTAGTCCCCCTCCTCATCCTCATCCTACATGTAGTCCTCCTCATCCTACATGTAGTCCCCCTCCTCATCCTACATGTAGTCGTCCTCATCCTACATGTAGTCCCCCTCCTCCTCCTCATCCTACATGTAGTCCCCCTCCTCCTCCTCATCCTACATGTAGTCCCCCTCCTCCTCCTACATGTAGTCCCCCTCCTCCTCCTCATCCTACATGTAGTCCCCCTCCTCCTCCTACATGTAGTCCTCCTCCTCCTCCTCCTACATGTAGTCCCCCTCCTCCTCCTCATCCTACATGTAGTCCCCCTCCTCCTCCTCATCCTACATGTAGTCCCCCTCCTCCTCCTACATGTAGTCCCCCTCCTCCTCCTCATCCTACATGTAGTCCCCCTCCTCCTCCTACATGTAGTCCTCCTCCTCATCCTACATGTAGTCCCCCTCCTCCTCCTACATGTAGTCCCCCTCCTCCTCCTCATCCTACATGTAGTCCCCCTCCTCCTCATCCTACATGTAGTCCCCCTCCTCATCCTACATGTAGTCCCCCTCCTCCTCCTCCTACATGTAGTCCTCCTCCTCCTCCTCCTATGGAGTGTGTGCAGGTCTAACTTCTACATGAACACAGATCTGATGATTACATCTTCTTCGTCTCTCGGAAGAGTTTTTGACGCTAATTTAACATTTTGGATATTTCGCTCTCAGTGAGTTTTGAGTCTTTTATTTACCCAGAAACAAAGAAAGAAGAACAGAACCTTTCAGCTGAGCAGAGAACAATGTTTGTTTGTTATTTGATGAACTTTGAGTCAGTGGTGCCATCTAGTGGACAAATAATGAATCACAGCTGCCACCTTCTTCTTATTGACTCATGTTTCTATTTACTTTATTATTATTATTATAAAGTCCACCTCCCAGAGCTGGTGATACTTAAATCTGTTTTATTGAATATTATTATACTTGTTTCCTAGAAAGAACAATGTAATATGGTCCCATTGTTCTGGGTCAAATGTATAAAGATGTATTTATTATTCTCTATACGGTAGAATGACCGTTAGGTGACAAATGTAATATAATACATTAAAGGAACTAAATAGACCATTCAGTACAGACACTTACAGACCACTGTACACAGACATCATTCATTTATTATTGTTTTTATGTTTCAATAGAGAAAGAAACCGATCGCCTCAGAGGAAGCGATCGGTCATTCTTTTATTCTGAAAAGAAATGACTTTGACACAAACGAGTGTCTTCAAGAGAAGAAGAGATTTAAATAGATTATAAAGTAGAAGATCGTCCAGAGAGACGAGCGGGACATGAAGACATGAAGGGGTTAAGGCACTAAATGTCTCTTCTTCACTGATGGTGATTCTGTGACTCAGTGAGAGTTCTACATCATTAAAACAGGAGAAGAAGAACGTGTGCAGTAGAAAGACAAGTACACAGAGACGTTGGTGTACTTTGAGTGGTTTTTACATCGGTACGACTCCAACAAACTAGAATGTTAAATGATGCTAAACGCAATGATGTGTAGTAGGCAGAGTACCTGAGCAGAGTACCTGAGCTGGTAGAGTCCACATACTCTGGTCCAGGTAGAGGATCTGGACCAGAAGCAGCTTCAAAGTAACTGAACTGATGAAGTGAGATTCTTCAACATGACCTCAAACACATCCAGATTATGTTTAAACGTGGACTTTATACATTTGGACAACGGTACATTGTCAGGTGTAAAAATAAAGGTGCAGGTGAGGAATGAGTACTCAGGTGTCCCCCCCCCCCCAGCTGATGGAGTGAGTGTTTGTTTAGAGTCCGTCTGACTCCGTTTGGCACTTCGTCCCCTCGGCCGAGAGTTAAAGGATGCAGCAGCGCTTCTTCTTCTTCTTGCCGCTCGGTCCGTTCTTGTCTTTGCTCTCCGCCATCTTCTTCTTGCGGACCTCCCGCATGAGGTCGAAGAACACCTGAGAGACAGAAGGCCACATGTGAGACAGACGGACGGACGCCCGCGAGACAGACAGACGGACGGACGGACGCCCGCGAGACAGACGGACGGACGCCCGCGAGACAGACGGACGGACGCCCGCGAGACAGACGGACACCCGTGTTCTCAACCGTATTAATCCAGTTTTAACCTTAAGTTCTGCTCCTCATCAGACTTGATGGAGTAAAGACGATATCTTTAGAGCCCTGGTGGTCTACATACCTTGTCTACGTTGGCTCTGGTCTTGGCTGAGGTCTCCACGTACTGGACCCCCCCCCCACTCGCTGGCCTTGGCGGCTCCCTCGTCCGCAGAGACCTGCCGTCGTTCCTCCAGGTCGGACTTGTTCCCCACCAGCAGCAGAGGGATGGCCTCCTCCTCCTTCACCCTCAGGATCTGCTCCCTGAGGCCAGAACACAGAGGGTTAAAACCGTCTCCTTTAAGGAGTCTGATGCAGACCAAGACCGTCTCCTTTAAGGAGTCTGATGCAGACCTAGACCGTCTCCTTTAAGGAGTCTGATGCAGACCTAGACCGTCTCCTTTAAGGAGTCTGGTGCAGACCTAGACCGTCTCCTTTAAGGAGTCTGGTGCAGACCTGAACTCAGAGATGGCCGTGAAGGACTCAAGCTCCGTGATGGAGAACAGCAGCAGGAAGCCCTCTCCGCTCCTGAAGTAGTTGTCCCTGATGGCGGCGTAGTCCTCCTGACCCGCCGTGTCCAGGATGTCGATCTGGACATCCTCCCCGTCCAGGACCACCTTCTTCCTGTAGCTGTCGGCCTTGGTGGGCTCGTAGTCCTCCACAAACTAGAGGAGCAGAGGATGTTGATGGTGTGATGGAAGCAGAGAGAGAGGGATTGTGGGAAAGGTAGTGCTGGAGTCTCACCTCGTCGTACATGAACTGCAGGGTGAGGGCGGACTTCCCCACTCCACCGCTGCCCACCATGATCACCTTATGGAGGACCAGAGAGGTCTGGTTCTTGTTCTTACCCGAGGCCATGATGACCGGTCCGTCGCAGTCCAGCGGCTCACAGATCCACCTACTGGAGAGACCAGCAGAGACCAGCAGGGAGAGAGAGAGAGAGACCAGCAGGGAGAGGGAGAGACCAGCAGAGACCAGCAGGGAGAGAGACCAGCAGAGAGAGAGACCAGCAGAGACATAAAACCATAAATACAACATTAAATATTAAAAACCAGACCAGAGTAAACAATATTAAAGATGTAAACTGAGCTCATTACTCACCAAACTGGCACAGCGCTCTAGAACAGACCTGTAACAGAGAGAACCAACACACTGAGATAAAGAGCCGGTCTAAACCACTACAGGGACGTGGACCAACCCACTTGTCAGTGACCTTTCCTGCTTCCTTTCCATGCGGGCTGCAAGGACACTAACGTGAATGTAACCGTCAGAACCAGATGAATATTACTGATTAACCTCAGCTGTGACCATACATAAGAAGTACGTGAACAATGCGTGTGTGTGTGTGTGTGTGTGTGTGCAGTAAAAAGAGGAACTTTAATTCATCTTGTTCCTCTTGTTTTAACCAGCTGACACACTAAACACACTTTAACAAGCGCCCGCCCTCTGCCCGGCTCTGATTGGCCAGAACTCCTCCTATCGCAGTTGCTATTGGCTACTCCGGAGCGTCACTCAACCGCGCTGATAAGCTAAGCTAGATAACACGCGAGGCGACTTAAGGGAGGGAAAAACGACGTTAAAACGTGACGTAGAAAACTTGAAGATGGCTTAAACAACGCAGGACAAAGTCGCAAGACTCACCCGTCAATGTGTTTTCCCGCCGTTCGTTAGGAAAACCGCCATAAACCGACACGAACTGAAACTTTCTCAAGTTGAGACGCTCTGCCCCACCTTACAGTTTGTACTCTGATCAAAGATCGTGTATTCTCAAGAGGAGGCGTCACTCTGTAGCTGGAAAGAAAACACTAGTTCGCCGTTAGCAGTGATTCACCTTAAATAAAAGCCAAACATAACTCTTCATAATAAATAAATTAGGAACAAAAAAACGTCATATTATGTGATATGTATTTACACCTACGCCAACTGTCGTTATAGGCCGTAAAATACACCAACTGTCGTTATAGGCCGTAAAATACACCAACTGTCGTTATAGGCCTTAAAATGCAGCTTTTTTGAAGTGGAGTGACGAACCCGCGAAACAGACACGGAGTGACACGTCCACCTTTTTCTCTCTTCTCGGATAACATTAACAGGATGTGATGTCACGAAATTCCTCGTACTCCTTGAAATCTGTATTATTTTATTTTTTTCTTATTAAAATATATTTTTTAAATATGTAGTTCTCTGTAATTGCATTGTTTTATTTTCATTCCTTATTGTTTATTCACTTTCTGTAAAAAAAAAAGATCAGCGCTCCGGTACTGTGTTGTGTATTTCTTTGTGGTTTAACAAAATAAAGTTTTGTGTAAAAAAATAAAAATAAAAAAAACATTTGTCTATTTATTTATTCATGTATTTTCTTTCCTAAAAATAGCATAACAAATATAATAACGGTACTCTATTTTATTTAAGGCTATCACTAAATTATATATATTTAGTTTTTGTGTGCAGAAAATAAATAAATACAAAGCTAACGATACAAGATGAATCTGATGATTAGTTGGTCTATTTTTAAGGCTTAAATATGTCATAAACAGCTTAAACAGATATAAAAGTAAAGAAACACAGCAAATCCTCAAATTAGAGAAGCTGGGATCAAGTTTCTAACGAGATATATAAATGTCAAATAGTAGTTTACTGTGAATAAAATGTGAATGTAGTGATTTACAGGTTTTAAGTGATGCAAACTCACCTGCAGCTAAAAGCATGTAGCTCCTCTCTTTGGAACAAAGATGGCGCTGTTTCCTTACTTTCTCCACAGCTGATAGAAACACAGTAGAGACCACTGACTGATGGACTGTAACTGGATCTAATGAGGGGAAGCTGTTTCTATTTCAATCAAATCAAAGTGAATAAAACATGTTTGATCTTTCAGCATCATGAGAGCAGAGGAACAGACACACAGGCGGCCCGAGGGAACAACCTGCTGCATGTTCATGAGCATCAGCTCATCTGGTTCCTGCTTCACTAGCACATGTATTCCTGTGCTCTCCTGACTCTTATTATTCATCTCCTGCAGCTGTCAGAGGCTTTTATTTTGGTATCTCACCACTTTAATTACAGGCTTGTGTTGATTTATTGTCACTCAGACAACAAGGATGCATCATGAAAACAGCGTTAACCTGCAGGGTACGATGCTCCTTCATGGGTTTCATCATGTTTGTGTTTGATTTAAAGTGTTTCAACCGTTAATGAACAATCAGCACTAATTAAGAAGTTTAAACTTTAAACATATTAGCTCAGAGGATGTTCTGATAGATTAATAAATATACACAAAGGTTAATAAATATGACGGAAGGAGAGAAGAAGAAACGTGTTTTAAAGTTTAAACCAAACTTCATTCATCTGATTATTTTAGGAAAAACAATCCAGAAGTTTGTTTGAGTTGTTAGAAAGTACTACAAGTACTTTATTTAAAGGTACTTTACTGCAGTATTTCTACTTTACACTTCTACTCCAGTACTTGAATAAATACTCTACATTTATCTGACCACTAAAGTTACTTATTTATATTTTAAACATAAAAACATAAGATGAACTTATGAATGATTCGTTTTTTATATAAAGTAAATACTTTTGGTGTATTTAAACATCGAGTATCAGAGTAGTACTTTTCAGTAGTACACACAGTGTATCTTTCTGTGCTTCCAGTCTTAACCCCGCCCCCTCCCCTCCTGGCCCCGCCCCGTTGCCCCCTCCCCCCCTCTTTGTATATAAAAACTTTTCGGTGTGGCGGCTCCGGGTCTCAGACGCCAGCATGGAGACGCTCCTCGGTGCGCTCTCTGGCTCAGCTCCCTCTCCTCCTCATCATCTACTTCTTCATTGCTCAGCGGCACTCCGGCAGCACCGCGCGGGGACTCGTTTACATCTGTTCAGAGAGTAACAAGTTGAAAAGATGAACCTGGATTCGGATGCTTCTCCTTCTTTTGTGGAATATATCGCAGCTGGACTGATGCTGACGGAGTGATGCTGTGCGCGTGAAGCTGCTCCAAACTCCGACACAGAGTCCAGAGGAACCGGAGGAACCGGAGGAGCGCGTGATCACACCAAAGACAACGATGTGATATAGAATTTGCTGCACGCGCATCTTGGAGTGGTGGAATAAAGTGAGCCCGTTACGCACGGAGCCGCGCGCTTCATTTCCGCCTCCGCACACGTCTTCTTGATGAACTGGGACAGAAGAGAGAGAGAACGGTATTGGACTCCTCCTCGAACAGAAAATGAGTAGCTGTCTCTTCAGACTGGCACTCCTCCTCGTGGCTTGCGTCCTCTCCATCCGCTGCACCGCTGCGCCCGGGACCGAGGCGGAGGCGCACGCGGCGACCCGGGACACTTGCGCGTCCTGCGGCGTCGCTGAGCCGGAGGACCCGGAGTCCGGCCGGCTGGACGGGGACTTCCTGGAGGCGGTGAAGAGGCACATCCTGAGCCGGCTGCAGTTGCGGGAGAGGCCCAACATCACGCACCCGGTGTCCCGGGCGGCCATGGTCACGGCGCTGCGGAAGCTCCACGCAGGGAAGCTGCGGGAGGACGGGCGCGTGGAGATCCCCAACCTGGACGGGCACCCGATGAGCAGCGAGGCGCTGGAGGAGAGCTCCGAGATCATCAGCTTCGCGGAGAAAGGTGCGTGATGGAGACGCGTGTTCAACGTGTTGTTATGAAGAGAAGCGACACAAATATGATATTTATAACGAGAAATGAACACGTGGCACTTATGTGTTAAAACAAACAACCCAAAGTAAGACCCCCCCCTCTGTAATGCCAACTTATTGGAACATAAAAAAGGAAAGAGTTTGATTTGATCGATATCTGACATCTTACAGAACATAAGCAGCAGTGGAGGTGAAGTCGCTGCTTCTGCACTAAAGCACCTGAGAAGTTCGTTTCTATCAGCTGATAGAAGCTCATGATGCACGTGCTGCTTCTAATCCTGAACATCACATTCTACTGTCAAACATAAAAACATGCTCTGAACAGACTGAGGACATCAGGACACTTGTTGTCCTCATGGACTTCAGCCTCTGAGAGGATGCATGTACACTCCGTGTGTGTGTGTGTGTGTGTGTGTGTGTGTGTGTGATAATGCTGATGTTGACCAGATGTTATACAGCTGCTCCCTGCATTCATGAAGCTGAGAGAGATGTGTGTGTCTTCATATTTCGGTTGTTGTCAAAGGTAAATGTGCTGATTTCATCACATTAACACACAGTTAGGTGTGTTTGTTTAGAGATACATTACAGGTACATAAAGGTACATTAAGGTATATTAAGGTACATTAAGGTACATTAAGGTACATTAAGGTACATAAAGGTACATTAAGGTATATTTATCTGTTACGCTGGTAGAAACAGGATGTGATCGAGCAGAAAAATGAAATGTAATTTGGTGGATGAAGAGCTGATCAGATTCTGGGCGTGTTGCGTTCAAGTGCAGGAGAGAAACTCAGACTTCTAACTTCCACCCCGTGTTGCGTTCATGTTCTAGAACACAGGCAGCTTCGCTCGGCGTCGGTCGCAGGTTCGATCCCCGCTGAGAGCCTCTTTTTAGCTTTACATGTTCGTCTCTGAGGCCTCGGACCTCTCCACCCTCGGCCGCCGTGCGCCAGAGAGCGACATGAGACGTGTGCGTGTGTGTGCGTGTGTGTGCGTGTGTGTGCGTGTGTGTGCGTGTGTGTGTGTCATGGCCCCGTTGTTGAATCGGTCCCCTCAGTATAAGGTCAGAGCTTTTGTGTCGGCCGTCGTGCGGCCTGAATGCAGATTGATGAGCTGAACTCAATTCACAGAGTGTGTGTGTGTGTGTGTGTGTGTGCGTGTGTGTGTGTGTGTGTGTGCGTGCGTGTGTGTGTGTGCGTGTGTGACATGTTGTCAGTCTACTGCATCAGTTTGCTTCTCACTCTTCTTGTCGACCTCTCACAGTCCCTTTAGTCCATGATCTTCTGTCTTATGATCTTCATCACCCTGTTGATGAAGAAGACCATGAAAGATGATCAAAAGCTCCAGAACAGTGTTTAATATTGAAGAATGATCGTCAACATTCAGAAGTTAAAAGTCACTTTTTGACCATTTAAATCTCACATTATTAAAGTGTTGTATTTACGGTTTCTACTCTAAATCTGGTGTAAAAAGCTCTTTTGTCACATTTTAATTGATTATATTTAATCTAATAAGATAGCTGTTGCTGGGGAATTACTGACGCGTAACAATCATTTTCTTCTCTTCCTTATGTTTTTATTTTGTAACGTACACGTGAAGTAAAGAAGACTTCAGTGGGAACATCTCCAGTGAAGATTCCTGCAGAAAATCTCTGCTTTTGAAGCTGATTTCAGCCTGAATGTATCTCTACCACGCTGTTGGACATGGAAGCGACTCGCATGTTACTCAATCGTTGCAGCGTCTTATTTATCCGTCACTAAAACATTCTAAATATTTGTCTGAAGTTACACGGAGAACAGCTGCCGTCTGTCGCCTGATTAAAGAACGTCTTTGCATCTCGCTCTCCTGCTCTCTGGGTTCATCTTCAATTACCCAGCATCCTCCTTGGCATCTGAGACGTGGGGTTTGATGGATGCACACCTGTGAGATCAGCTGGTCCCGTGACGGATGAGGTAGCGCATAAAGACGTTCGCTTTGATGACGACGCTCACGGCTTTGCTTCTTTTTCCTGCAAAAACTACATCTGGGTTCTCTTCTTCTGTGGTGCTTCTTGGTCACAAATGCACCACATGTGATCCAAAGTAACAGCCACTAAAAAGCTCCGTCAGCATCTCCAGATAAATAAGCTCAGAGATAAAACGCAGGAGCTTAAGAAGCTTCTAGTTCTGAGACAGAAGTCACAGTTTCTACCAGATTCCATGATTACTATTAGAGTTACTGACCGTCTAACATGAAGTATTATTCATTATTTTATTTCCCCAACATGTAAAGAACTTATTGCATCTTTTATCTTTTTATTTAGCAAATTGAGTAAAAAGATTTGAATCAATCAAACTTACTGGCTGAATAAATGAAGAGACGAATACTTGATGCATTCCTTAAAGGTGCAGGAGAAACAGGAGTATAATATATATAAATATAAAGATGACAAAGATGTTGTGGTTTTAGTTTCTAAAGGGTTTGAATCCCTCAGCTGCCTCGGACCATTTGCAGGTTTCGGTTCGTTGCTGCGTCTCTTTTAGGCCTCGTTGTGACGACAGTGTCGGCTCCAGAAGATCTCGTTTTCAGGCAGCATTCAATGCAGAGTCTTTGAACCTTTTGTGTGCTGCTCTCTTAAGCCCCCCCTCCCCCTCTTTCTTCTCACATTTGGGACAATTCGGAGGCCAAGTGGCCCAGCGCCCAACGGCTTCCTGTCACAGTCCGACGGACCGGTGCTGCCACCCTGAACCTGAGGGGAGGTCTGGGGGTCTGTTGTCAAAGAGCTGACCCCTTGATTTAAATGTCGCCCGTTCTTCCTCAGTCAGCTTTATTAACGATGTGTTTTTTGCTCCCCAGACGACATGGTGACGTCCAAGTCCAGCCTGTTCTTCCTGATCTCCAGTGAGGGCAACCAGAACCTCTACGTGACGCAGGCCACCCTCTGGCTCTACTTCAAGCTGCTGCCGTCGCCGTCTCCGTCGGAGGCGCGCCCGCGGCGGAAGGTGACGGCGAAGGTGTACTACCAGGAGCCGGGCCTCGGCAGCAAGTGGAACCTGGTGGAGAAGCGGCTGGAGCTGAAGCGCAGCGGCTGGCACACCTTCGTGCTCACCGACGCCGTGCGGCTGGTGTTCCAGAAGGGCGAGCGACGCCAGAACCTGGATGTGCGCTGCGAGGCCTGCGAGGCCGAGAGCGTCGCGCCGGTCCTGCTCGACCGCGTCGACGAGTCCCACCGGCCGTTCCTGGTGGTGCAGGCGCGGCAGTCCGCGGACAGCAAGCACCGCATCCGGAAGAGGGGGCTGGAGTGCGACGGCAGCAGCAGCCTCTGCTGCCGGCAGCAGTTCTACATAGACTTCCGGCTCATCGGCTGGAACGACTGGATCATTGCGCCGTCGGGGTACTTTGGGAACTACTGCGAGGGGAACTGCCCGGCGTACATGGCGGGCGTCCCCGGCTCGGCGTCGTCCTTCCACACGGCGGTGGTGAACCAGTACCGCATGCGGGGGATGAGCCCCGGCTCCATGAACTCCTGCTGCATCCCCACCAAGCTCAGCACCATGTCCATGCTCTACTTCGACGACGAGTACAACATCGTGAAGCGGGACGTTCCCAACATGATCGTGGAGGAGTGCGGCTGCGCTTGAGCGAGTGTTATTTTCAATCCCTGTTTATTTAAAAGGTGGAACTGAAGAAGATTCACACTTTTTACAACAACGAAAAGAATACAGAAACATATTTATGGAAAAAACAAGCGCACCCTCACGTATGCCTGCACAAAATACAACTTGTATATATATTTATGTTTGCTGATATATTTCGTTATATTCTCTGGTGGTTTCAGTGAAGAGTTCTCTTCCAAATCTTTAAATATCCACTTTGGAAAACAATCAATCTCTGAAGTTCTTCATTAAATATCTGTAAGATAGTGAGGATGAGGAGGGACCACTTGTTTAGAGGTGGGTATCTTCTTTTTGGAGTGAAACCCTTCATGTGTAGAAGTTAAAACCCAAAATAACATCTCCAGAGGAGCCTTACACGAGTCACAGAGAAGGTTTTTTGGGGGTGATTTTACTGAGAACTTCACCAACGTACAGCACTTCAGACCAGGAGTCACATCCAGACTTTGGTCCACGATGAAAACCGGCTTCAAGCCGAACATTTGGACGCATCCAAGAAAAACACAATCAAGGGTTTTGCCACCAAAAGCGTTAAATAACCCTCTAAAGTAAAAGGTGGATTCTTCTGTCCAGCATCGTCATTGTTTAATCAGTGGGATTTTAACCTCAACCCAGAGTGAAGGTGGTTTGTTGGTCAGATCTCGTCAAGCGTCATTTCTCCAATCAGTCATTTGTGCAATTTACTCAACGTCTCGACCAAATATCCCTCAGACAAGTGTCTTTAAGGTATTTGACTCTCAGATTGAACACATTCTGGTTTGGGATGTCGGACTGTGAGATATGAACTTCAGGTTCAAAGGTTAAGACTCATTACAGCCACAACGTTTGAGAGAACGATTGGGTATTTCTTCCCCGATTGGAATCTGAGGATTTAACAACACAAGTAGAGTCTGATCCCAAAGGGACCAAGATCTGACGTACCAACCCAACCTTTAAATAACAAGCAAACCTCTTCTGTGATCGGTGCCAGAGGCTTCGTCTCTGCAGACCTAAAGTCTTAAAAGGACTCCGTCTCCCACTCTTTAAGAGTGCGTGATCAGCTCATGAAGACGTTCATCCATCTTTGTTAACGTTCGGATGTCAAGAAGAGCTTCAGATTCGGTTCCTCCCGGTCGATCAAATCAAGTGACAAGTTGCCATAATTTCCCCATTTAGTTGACGGTTGAACTCCACCCCTTTGATAGCACTTGCAGATTTAAAATGCCTTTTAGACTGAGCACCGTTCGCCCACAGTCCTTCTAAACAGAAATAAGTGCCGCATGAGCTATGCAATGTATAGTATTGACCCGTAAACATGAACTGAAGCTTCACTTCTATCACTTAGTACTTTAGATGTTAAGCGTTGCAGACGGGCAGCGGGTCGGAGGAGGAGGCAGAGAGTTCGTTTCTACGCTACGAAATGGTTTTTGCCAACGATATTGTGAAGAAAATGTAATTTCTGCCTTTTTTATGTTTCTTTATCGTCCATTTAGGAGACAAGAGTTGGAAAAATACGACATCTGCTGCACAATAAAGTAGATTTTTACGCCTTTTCACACAAAGACGGCAGCTTGAAGTGACACATCTGTTGTATATCGTTAAAAATATCAATGCATTATTATAAATTATTGGTTCCCAACCTGGTAATTCAGATGTTTTTCTTGAAATTCACAAAATGGTTGTAGATTTTCAAAATAAAATCATAAATCAACAAAAACACATGAAATAAAGCTGATATTTAAGTTTCATTGTCACTTTGGGTTGCCAGGTTTGTTTGGGATACACATTGGGAATAAAAGATGAGTTCCTTTGTTCTTCTTGATGCAATCATCAATTTAAAAAGTGAACCACTAAAGGAGGCTAACTGTGACCCAGATGGGATTCTGGTCTAAAGGAACGCGTCCCAGAGGAGTCTTCAGTTCGGCACCGAAACACACTTTGAGACTCAGTTTTGAGGTTAAAGCTCCTCTTCCACAGCCCGCCCCCCCCACCCCGCCCCCTCGGGAATAAAAGAATAAATAAAAACTAAACCTCCATTTAAAAAACAGAAGTTATTTTTATAGCAGAGTCTCTGTTGAGACGTGTAACGATGGAACCAAAGAGGCCGAGAGGCGGAGCTTGTGTTTGCAGACGAGGCCTAAACACTGTATCAGGGTATAATATCAGTCCATAATCAGCTTCATCGCTTTCTATTTTATACATAGACATATCGCATATTTTTGTTATCAGTTTTTCTTTCTGTTTGTTAGCGTCGTTTAGAGTGAAGCACATCTGATCCCTGTACAGTCGCTGTAACATATGAATTATGCTTTTTTCAAATATTTTTTGTTCTTTGTAATTGTTGGAAAAATAAATTTCTTATTACCGAACGAATGGTTTTGTTGACGCCGTATTCATGAAGGTGTGTTTTTAATCACATTTCACTCAAAGCACATTCGTATTCATCACATCTGATATTTAATCATTTTATGAAACTGTTTCCACTATAAGTACTTCAGTATATGTAGTATTTGTGTGCACTATAAGTA